CCAGAACCAAGTCTGGCTGTGATGGATTACAAAGAGAAAAAGACCTGAGAGAGAACATATACAAGGCAGATAATGTGATCACTTTTATCTGCCTCGTCTACCTTTCCTTAAGGATCAATACAGCTTCAAAGATGAAAGACAGAACAAGATAGTGTCATGACAGAGTTCAGCTTCATGAACCCTCTATAAATTTCATTTGGCTTAAAAACAGTACTCAGGAAAATCAATAGCTCTATCTAATTAAACATAGCAGCACCGTATCTTTCACTGTCCACAGGGTCTCAACAGAGCTCACTACTACTCGTTTACAGCACACAGTAGAGAACATAGTATTTCCCCCTCCCTCTGCTTAGCTACTTTCCTTTTTTAAGCAACTCCAACAGAATGTATAAAAATCTATTTTATTTATTTATTTATTTATTGGTCAGAAGCAGAGTTATTCCTGAACGTGCAGGTAGTGTATTTTGTGAATTAATAATAAAAGTTTGCACTTAAAAAGCATCTTTCATCTGAGGCTGTGGGGGCAATTTATAAATATATAGTACTTTATTAATTTAGCTGCAATATTTCTATGAAGCAGGTAATCATTATCTGCACTTTACAGATGAGGAGACTGAGGCACACAGAAGAGCCTGATTCTGCTTTCACTTTCCCCATGGTAAATAAAGAATAACTTCACTGAACTGAATGGAATTACACCTGCCAAAACTAGCGTGAGAGCACAATCAGGACCTCAGTGTCTCCCTCAGGTGTCCCAATAAGTCTGTGCTACAGCCAGGAATAGAAGCCCTGGCGTCCCAACTCAGAGCTCTGAGCCTTTTAAGAGGCCTCCCTCTTATAACTGAGGCACAGAGATATTAAATAACTTGCCCAAGGTCACACAGCAAAGTCGGTGGCAGAGCCAATAACTGAACCCAGATCTCCTGAGTATCAGGTCTTTGCCTTAATCATGACAATCCTCAAATACCTACCATGCATGAAAAAAATTAACAGGAAAACATTCTGCATTTCTAAACTGTCTTAGTTGTAGTTCTCGAAGTGTTTTCTCTCTCTTCAGATTAAAATTTTCAACAGTGGACAGAGGCCTGTCTCTGACACAGCAGAACTCCTCACATGAGTACAGGTTGCACATCGGGTGCTAAGCTGAGCTTCTTTATGTTGCTTATATGTTATTTTCCTTGAGCAGTGTATTACACAGAATCACAGAAACATAGGGCTGGAAGTTAAGTTTTCCTAATGTCCAACCTAAACTGCCTTTGTTGCTATTTAAGCCCTTTGCTTCTTGTTCTATCCTCAGACATTAAGGAGAACAATTTTTCTCTCTCCGCTTGTAACAACCTTTTATGTACTTGAAAACTGTTATGTCCTCTCTCAATCTTTTCTTCTCCAGACTAAACAAACACATTTTTTTCAATCTTCCCTCATAGGTCATGTTTTCTAGACCTTTAATCATTTTTGTTGCTCTTCTCTGGATTTTCTCAATTTGTCCACATCTTTTCTGAAATGTTGCGCCCAGAACCGGACACAATACTGCAGTTGAGGCCTAATCAGCACAGAATAGAGCGGAAGAATTACTTTTCATGTCTTGCTTACAACAGTCCTGCTAATACATCTGGGAATGATGTTTGCTTTATTTTGCAACAGTGTAACACCGTTGACTCATATTTAGCTTGTGATCCCCACTATGACCCCCATATCACTTTCTGCAGTACTCCTTCCAATTTTGTATGTGTGCAACTGATTGTTCTTTCCTAAGTGGAGTTGTTTGCATTTGTCCCCATTGAATTTCATCCTATTTACTTCAGACCATTTCTCCAGTTTGTCCAGATCATTTCAATTTTAATCCTATCATCCAAAGCACTTGCAACCCCTCACAGCTTGGTATCATCCGCAAACTTTGTAAGTGTACTCTCTGTGCCATTATCTAAATCATTGACGAAGATATTGAACAGAACTGGATCCAGAACTGATCCCAGAGGGACCCCACTTGTTATGCCCTTCCAGCTTGACTGTGAACCACTGACAACTACTCTCTGGAACGGTTTTCCAACTAGTTATGCACCCACTTTATAGTAGCTCCATCTCTGTATTTCCCTAGTTTGTTTATGAGAAGGTCATGTGAGACAGTATCAGAAGTCTTACTAAAATCAAGATATACCACATCTACTGCTTCCCCCCTTATCCACAAGGTTTGTTACCCTGGACAACAATTGATCACTGTCCTCTTTATAACAACCCTTAACATATTTGAAGACTACTATCAGGTACCCTCCTCAGTCTTGTTTTCTCAAAACTAATCATGCCCAGTTTTTTGAATCTTTTCCTCATAGGTTGTATTTCTCATTTTTCTGGCTCTCTTCCAGACTCTATCCAATTTGTCCAGGTTTCCTAAAGTATGGTGCCCAGAACTGGACACAGTACTCTGCTGAGGCCTCACCAGTGCCAAGCAGAGCTGCACATTTATCTCCTGTACCTTATATACGACACTCCTGTTAATAAACCCCAGAATAATATTAGCCTTTTTTGCAACTGCATCACACTATTGACTCATATTCAATTTGTGATCCAATATAATCCCCAAATTCTTTTCAGCAGTACTACTAGCCAGTTATTCCCCATTTTGTAGTTGTCCATTTGATTTTGCTTTCCTAAATGTAGTACACTTTGCATTTGTCTTTATTGAATTTCATCTTGTTGATTTCAGACCAATTCTCTAATTTGTCAAAGTTCTTTTGAATTCTAATTCTGTCCTTCAAAGTGCTTTCAGCCCCTCCCAGTTTGGCATCATCCACAAATTTTATAAGCGTACTCACTCCATTATCCAAGTCATTAATGAAAATATGTAATAATACTGAACCCAGGTCTGACCCCTACTGAACCCCACTAGATACACCCTCCCAGTTTGACAGTGTACCACTGATATCTCCTCTTTGAGTACAGTCTTTCAGCCAGTTGTGCACCCACCTCAGTCATTTCATTTAGATTTACATTTTCCTAATTTGCTTATGAGAATGTCATGATTGTGTCAAAAGCCTTACTAAAATCAAGATTAAGCCCTTTACTTACTTACACATCTACTGCTTCCCCCCTGCCCCCATCCACTAGGCCAGTAACCCTGTCAAAGAAGGAAATTAGGTTGGCTTGGCACGCTTTGTTCTTCACAAATCCATGCTGGCTATTGATTGTTTAATAATTTGTTCCTGAATCTTTCCAGGTACTGAAGTTAGACTAACTGGTATATAACTCCCCAGGTCCTCTTTGTTTCACTTTTTAAATAGGTACTATTTTTCCCCTCCTCCAGTCCTCTAGGAGCTTACCCGTCCTTAGTGGTTTTGAGACTGCTTCAGCTAGTTCCTTAAGTATCCTAGGATAAATTTTATCAGGCCCTGCCAACTTGAAAACATCGAACTTACATAAACATTCTTTAACCTCCTCTTTGCCTAATGTAGCTTGCGTTCCTTCCCCCTTGTTGTTAATGTGAATTGTATTGAGTATTTTGTCACTAATAATCTTTTTAGTGAAGACTGAAGTAAAATAGGCATTAAACACCTCAGTCTTCTTGATGTCATCAGTCATTAGCTCGCTTTCCCTGGCTAAGTAGAGGACCTACACTTTCCTTTGTCGTTCTCTTGCTCCAAATATCTTTAAAGAACCACTTCTTGCCATTTATATTCCTTGCAAGGTATAACTCATTGATTTTGCTATTGATTGAATGTGTACATTTACTCCTGTGTGTTTCAGCATTCCAGATATTCTCAACTTTAAGGATTTAAACAGCAGAATGTAATTTACAAAAAATTCCTACTTGCTTGATTAGATTTTTTTTTTAATTATTTCCTTCCTCTCTCCCTCCTTAATGTCCAGAGAAAGGATAGCATAATTACAATGAAAGCTCATTCTATTAAGCATTTATGCTGAATATTTCCCATGCAAATAATGTGGGGAAAATTATTTTTTTCACATTGTTTCCTCAAAACAGATTGTAAACTTGCCTGTAAAGTTTATTTGTCTATGCAATAAATTATAAATCAGGACAACAAGACACTTTGTTTTCTTTAAAGGATTTCACAGAGATAAAGATGACTTGGATATCTCCAAGGACTGAGACTTGCAAAAAGTCCCCTACTGATTTTTTTGGCTAATATCCTCCCTTCTATTTTCCCAGAGCTGGGCTTGAGGCTTTGAATGTGAAAGAAAAAAATATTTCCTGCACAACACTGAAGGGTAACGAGGGGGAAGAGAGGTCTTGGAATTTTTACTGTTGGGTGAGCCAAAGAAAAATAAAGCAAATGGCTACTCCATCTTAAAAGAGTACATTGCAGCTTCCTTCAGCATTAAACAACATAGCTAGGAATTTCCTTTGGGCTGGACCTCTCAGGAATCTAGGATTTTACTAAATTTTTAACCTTAAGAAGCCCAGATTTTTGAGAATATTGATATCTTCTTTTTTTTAAACTCAACTGACTTAAGCTTTAGTTTAAAATGTGAGGATCAACTGATTCAGGATTTTGAAATGTTAAAAAAATATTTTTGTTTTTAAAGGAAGTATTGGTTGTCAATGCAAAAATTTTTCAGCACTTGGGTATTTGTAGGATAAACCAGAGCATAGTAGGGACAGAGTAATGGAAAGTTGGAAACAACTCAAAGGATCATTTTTATAGAAAGAAGATTATAATTAAAATATGAGTATTACCTGTTCTGCTGAGGAAAAAGATGGAGATTTTCACTATCTACCTTAATGCTACAGATTCCTTAATTTCCCCCAGAATTGCTCTAAACAAATCATTTTCTCCTGAACAAATACATGCTCCTTCTACTCTCCAAAGCATTCATACTCATTCTCTCTATGGAGAAAAACCACAAGTATTTTCACTGGTTCATTTACTTCTAGTGCTGATTACTCCTGTGTATTATATTGCAACACCCTAATGTTGAATTAAGGACATATTCATTACAGCCTGAAATTGAAAGTATATAATATAAACAATGCCTGAACTTACGTAACTCCTGCCTGTGCGCCTCTGTCTGTGCAAAATACTGGCGGAGCTCCTCTGTGATCTCCATGTTGCTCAGATCACATTCTATCTCCTCTTCAGACTCAGAATCCTTCTCCATTTCAGAATCCCTGCCCATATCCTTGCTCACTCCAGAACTGCAATGGGCACCTGGGTATTGCTGGGGCCAGGAAGGGTATCGCGCTCTGCTGTTTGGAGCGTAAGTAGAATAGTTGTCAGCATCCGATGGGTTGCCTCCATCCCAATCTGAGTAACGGCTTGAAGGAAAGGTTTCGGATGGATACCATGACAGATGATAAAAGGACTCCATGGCTTTCCTGTAGGCATTTTTGTGCTTGTACATCCAATGCATGGCTTGATTGTAATGCTTCCAGTATCTTGCATATACTTGTTGATTATACCATGGCTGAGAGTCTTCATGCAGTGAGTCCTCCTGAAAAAAGTGGGAGCAGAGGGGAGAGACAGTGTTGAGGCAACTCCTAGAATTGAAAAGCTTTTTCATTCCAAATGCTTTACTTCCTATGATAACAAAAAACATGTATTTTGGAGGAAAAATGACAAGTGCTTGAAGCATGAACATACTATACATACAAAAATAGATCATGTTGCTCACGCTACTAGTCACCAAGGAAGAAAGTAATGAGAATGACTGCACCAAAGCTTTCCCCCAAAGCTCTGTTATTACAGTGGAAGCCACTCCAGTGGGGCAAAATGTTGAAATGTATTAATGCAAACCGAGCTGTGTGGATATAAATACTCAGCACTTACAAATACAAATGAATTCAAGTGAATTGATATACTACATAGGTGAAAGATGAGCTGAATGAGAGCTGATTACTTCAAAGTGTGTGTGGGATAAGCCAAATACTACAAATACACAAGCTTCATGTTAACAGGCAGAGGGTACCGCGTCTGAAATTCCTCTATATTAAATAAAGGCACCTATTTCATTTAGTAATGCATTTACCCCATCTCCTTGTCATAATGATTTCAGTGGTAGAGGTCAGATGGCAACTTAGTCACATCTCAATCAAACCTTAGTCAAGGTCTCAATTAAACCCCACCCATGCTTAGCAAAGTGCCGTGCTGCTAGTAAATCTCACTTCTGTATTCATCAGCAGCTATAATCTGAAAAAGGGTAATAAAGTTCATTGACTGAAGTAAACTAAAATATTTCTTTCCAGTTATAAAACGTAACAAGTTGTAAAACAGCAACAACTGTTTTTAAAAATGTTTGTTTGCTTGACAGAACAGTTTACCCCTGGCTCTATTCTAGCCATATAACTCTATGAGAGTGCAGCAGACCCTATATTTATAGTAAATTCTGTATAGAAAAAGATTGCAATAGGTTCCCGTCCCCTACTAATTGGGCTACACATGGGTAGTGTTGGAGAAAGGTCAGGGATAATGGAAAGCTAAATCACTCTTGGGGTGGTGTTTGCCCACTGTCTGCCCTTGGGGTAGAGCTTCTGAGCAAGGGCTCTGGATGCATGGAAAGTGATGTTGGATTTAAAAACAAGTTGGTCTCACTTCATTCATTTGGATACCCATGATGCAACAACACGTGTCTGTCTTAAAACGGACAAAAGCCAAGAAATTTAGTGTAAAGTCTGATGTTCGTCCCATAATGCATCTCCTTGGTCTAGATATTGTGTCTCTCTCAGGGGAGGGAGAGTTTTACTTGATCTATTTTTTTTGCCACACATTTGGACTATTTTAGACTTAAATGTGGAAGGTCATCTTTTCTTTTTCAGGGATACTGTCATGATGAAACATTATACTTTAAAGGTGCTTTCCTTACCTGTATTATTAATACCCTAAATCACCAAGAATGATTTTTTTAAAAAATAAATGAATTTGGTTTAGTGACACTTCATAGCTATAGTTTTACCATCCCTGCCCAGAAACCAACCTCCCTTCCTGACCCCCCCGTCCCCTCCCCCAAAAGGGGCTTAAAAACACTGATAACATAATTTTAAGGTTATGTTTAAGTAGTTGCAAGAACAAAAAGTCTCAAGCTAATAAACTTTATTTTTCTTATTTCACTTAAACACTGGGTCAGGGATTGTGTCTCACCTGTTTATGCAAATCTATGGTGTCATACAAGTGATTTTAAAAAACAGCCACCCAATTAATTTTTATGGAAATGCATAACAAAATGTGTGTCTTTTTGGCTAAGACTTTATGGGACAGTTGTGCCTCATGCACTTCTATTGTGCTGGTGAAACTCCACTGACTTCAGGGGATTTATTTCCAATTTACGCTGGTGTAAGAGGAGAATCTGGCCCTGTTGCTAGGATGTATTTATTTATTTATAACTGTTATGAACTCCTAAAAACCAGGATATTTAATGTTTTTACTTTGCTTTCGTTAAATGAGAATGTCACCCTGACTCTAGTTCTTCAATGTATAGTCAAGACCAGAAAATTCTGTGGTCAAGTCTGAGAAGTTGCAACTCCCATTTCACAGAGTTAGTTCTGAAGCACTTTGTTTAATTTTTCCCACTGAAATAATTAAAAATCAAGTTTGGGAACATCAGTAGAGCAGTTAATACAGCTTAACAAAAAAGGAAAGTTTCATATATTCTATGTATTCCCCAAGATGACAACATATCTTTTTAAAATACAAAAAATATCTTCAGTTCTTTTTAACTAAAATGTTTCTAAAATGGGCCTTGGTGATGACCTCACTGAAAACTTTGGAATACAGCTGGCTGATTTGCCTATCTGACTAGCCCCAGTTGTTAATTTAGGGGGAGAGGAATACAAAGGGCCACTTCATGTAGACAGAATTGTGATTTTGGTGCTTATCCAAATACTTCTGTGTTTGGGAGGGGAAAAAAAGTGACCCTAGAAAACCTCACTCTTTCACAGAACTTTAAAAATCCATCTGTTGAAAAAAAATTAAGGGGATGTTTTAGATTGGGATAAAGAAGGAAAAGGAACACATTAAAGTCTAACTATGGAATATAGCTGTATGTCTGTGTTTTTTCAGCTGCTGTGTAAATGGAAATACAGAGGAGTTTTCTCAACCATATAAAAGCTATAAATCTAAGAAGAGTGATCAGCAGATTTCTCTGTTATTTTCCTGTCATATGTCTCTAGACTCTTCTCTGAAGAGACCAATCAAACAATACTTTTAATAAATGAATTTTACTTTGAATGCAATTTAACTAATTTAAAATACAATTCTTTTAAATATGTGCTGACGGTTCAATACAATTTGCTTGTATATGCAGTTAACATACAAAGTGTGCATTGCCCATACTCTCAGATACACAGTGTAAGTAAAGAATGCTTACCATCACCTGTGGAGTTTTCTCCAATGATCAACGTAAACTAGAAAAGAAAATAATGTTTTTTAATTTATAAAAAGATAGTTAAAACACAGAAAGCATCTCTAGTGAACCCTAGTAGCTACAGACAAGTCAACAGATGAGGGATTTTGAATAATCAGAGAATCCTTGAAACCTCTTATTCATTTATTCTAATTAGTTTTAGTAAGGAACTTTTAAATATTGGAGATTATTAATATTGAAGGCTCAAGAAGATCAAAGGGCACCCCACTCCCCGCAGCCTAGAATGCAGGAAGATATAAATAAACTTGGTCTCATTACCCTTTTTTTTAATCCTTCACACAATAGTGGCTTCCTCTGCTTCTAGGTACCTTCAAAATTAATGACATTAAGGAATGACCTTAAATGAGAAACACTTGACTTTATCCCTCAGCAGTGTTTGCGGAAGGAATCCTATACAATTTTTTATTTTAAGCATTTTTAAAACCATTTTGATTTCACTCAGGTAGTAAGGTTTTTGTTTATTTTTAATCCTATGTTGTAATTGTTTGTATAACCATCTCCTCTTCTCCCACTTTATGCTTCCCTGATTGCAACACTGCTTCACCTAAAGGAAGCACAGACAAATTCAGGTGATGATCAAGTACTTGAATGGAGAGAGGAGGGGAGGTTAAGTACAGAAGTGGAAACTGGAAAGGACCAGATCATAAAAAGATCTGCAATTACAACCTGCAGTTTAAAATTACTATCGCCTAGCACATACATTGCACTTTTAATCTTCAAAGTTATTTACCCACACGAACCACTTAAGAGAATTTTGAAAAATACCCTGACTATTGGACAGCTATTTTATTATATCAAGATTTTGAAAGAGCAAACCACCCATTCCACATAGTGTCATCACCCAGAAACTCTCATTTGAAGGGACACCAGGGGCAGCAGAGGGGAATGATACAAAGATTAACCCCCCACCACCATTTTTAAAAAATGACTGTGGGCCAAAGAATCCACTAACTGACACTCTCAAGCTACTCCAAGTAGTGGGTCAAATTATACTTTCAGTTACACTGATGTAAAACAGGAATAACTCCACTGACTTCTTTGGGGTTATCCCAGATTACACCAGCACAACTGAGTAGAATTCTTCCCACTGGGGCTGCCCAGGGTGTCAGTTGGAGCAGCATTTGGCCTCCTATTTATGACTTTATTGATCAAGCAGCAACTTTTTATCTCTTTAAGACAGCAATGCTGAGCGAAGAGATTTGAATGCAGTCCATCCTGACATCACCAAAGAAATGCAAATCATGAAGCTACCACAAGTCAGCACAAAGGCTGAACTGTCACCCTTTGTATAGTGGAGACAGAGCCCAAATATGCAAACTCTCACTCACCAACCCTTCTGCAAACAGTCCTTACATACATGAGTAGTCCCAATGCAGTCAATGGGCCTACTCGTGTGAGTAAAGGTTAGCAGAATCAGGTTCAAAAATGTCAAAGAGACTGAACTGATTGTCTTCCTTTCCACCTGCCAAGAGAGGCAGGAGAAAAAAAAAAAAGAGCTGAGGTCACTAATGAAACATTGCAGTGACTTGCAGCATAACTAGCCTACAGATATATAAAAGACCTGGGTGCTGCCCCTTTCTGTTAATCTCAAACACACAGTTTTCCATGCTATCATCTTTTTAAAAGTTGTGTTTCGTGTGTGTG